TCGTTTTTTGTGTGATGTTAGCCATATGACGGACTAGAGCTCAGCACGGATTCATCGGGATCGCCGTAAGGTGAATCAATGTATTTTAAACACAATCTAAGTCACAAATACAAAACAATCCTGCTTCGGTATCCTGTTTGACTAATCTAGGAGTTCCTTTCACCTTTTTTTCACACTAAACAAAAGTTACGCCAGCATCAAATTACATTATACTTTTTACTGCTAACATATTAACATGATTTCAGTTCTGACTTGATTGCTATCCTGACAATCATATTTGTAGATTAAAATTTCCCTAATGCCTCTGGCACGTATGTCTAAGCCTATTTGAAAGCTAGCAGGCTTACATCTAGGCATTGTCTTGCAGTCATACCCGCCACTTTCGCGTCAGTTGGCGATGATGCTAAGCCTTCAAGTGTGCTGGATGCCGGAGCAGGAATAGTTGGCGTAGGAGACGGGGTAGTTGCTGGTGCTGGCACCAAGGCAGATAGGGCCGAGTAGGTTGGAGCTGCGGCAACCACTGCGTGAGCGGCATGGGCATGAGCAGCAGCTGCTGCAGCTGCAGCTGCTGCAGCGTAATAATAAGCGTGCGCATGTGCGTGTGCAGCTGCAGCAGCGGCAGTTGGCGAGAGAACATGATAAGCGACAGCAGGAGGATGACCGTGTGCGTGTGAGTGAGCATGGGGATGAATGAGTGCGTGCGGATGCCCTTGTGTATGCGAATGAGGATGAGCATGCAATTGTGCAGTTGCGTGATGGGGATGTAAGTTTCCAGAGCTTGAGACAACGTTAGCTGCCACTACAGCGGCCGCAGCAGCAGCCGATCCGGGAATGACGACTGCATTGCCGTGTGGAACCTCAGCTGGGTAAGCAAAATGAGGTGAACTGGACGGTTGACTGGAGAGATGATGAGCATGAGATAAGTGCAAGTCTAAAATTAAAAAAAATGAATAGGCAAATTTTGAGATGAAAGATTTAATGGGGACAAGGCAACAACACAAAAACTCATTCATGATCGGATTCTTTCTGGTATGTATTTCGCGCTTCGTATGTTTCATATGCAAAATGGCATGAAACCTCGCACGAAAAGGACAGCATTAAATGTAGAAACCCAAATAAGTTTCTTTAAAGACCGCATCTTTGAGTCCACGTTTACAAAACGATATTCGTTACACAGCAGCATTATGGAGTTTACCAAAATCAACCTTAGATCCACGCCGCATCTCCACGTTGCGCCTCTAGCATCCAGGTATGGTGCCCTTTCCATTTGTCTATACTTAACAGCAAACCATCTCAGCAGCCCTTCCCCAGCCATCACTGCTATACACCCAGATTACATCTATATATCTCTGTCATATAGCTTCTACACTAAATTCTTGTGTCTCCTATTAAATCACTTAGCTTTAAATCAGGTCCTCTGTATTATACATAAAGGAAAATCTTGATGAGGAATACTTATAAAGACATAAAATTCATATTAAAGTAACGTAAAATTAAACACTATAAGAGAACACCACACCAGCATTTTGACAGTAAAGCAATTAAATGTGTTTAAAGATAATACAAAAATAATAATTTGTAAGGTAGATGCCATGCTTACGTCCATATTTAAGTTGAGTATCGATCGATTTGATTTGCACAGCGGCAAATGTTTTAAGTTACTTTAAGTATTATCTTGGCCCGACATCGAATATAATAAAATAATGATGGAAAATGGATTGTTTTATCGAAACCGACTGGTGCACATCTAAGAATAAGAGGGATAACAAAAGAATCTAGTTCTATCATACCGATTCATAAATTATTCTGTGTTTTTTTTAAACAAACGTCGATACAGGTTGTTTGACCTTGTTTTGGCAACATGGTCATATTGGTAGGAAGACTTATTGGAGCGCACCTAGTCCGGGGTCCATTGTCTCCATGATCATTTCCAAAGTTGACCCGTGGACGTGGTACATTCACAAACGTTTCGCCGGCATCGTAGTCGGCATCGTCAGTGAGTATCGTCATTCTTAGCACCACACAACAACTCGTGGACAAGTGAAGCCGATCCTTTGACCAAACTTGTGCCAAAAAATTTTGGTATCTCCCTTACTGCCCTGGGTTATTCGCGTTTCCGGTATCCTCCTATCATGCCTTGACTATTACAATTTTTACCGTGTTTATTTAGATAATGTGGTGTGCTCCTTTGAGCAACATGACACTTTCACACTCCAACTGTCGTTCTCACCCCCCACCCCCCCTTCATCGTTGTGCAGGGAATGTTGACCAGAGTCTGCTTTATTATCATTATGCAGTCCTCTTCCCTAGTCTTATCTCAGTCTCTCTCTTGCTAGGTAAAATCCGTCTGCTCTACCCCTTGTTCACCTATTTCACTCGACTCCTGTCACCAC